CATCCTTGAAGCATGAGACCTGGGAAGACATAAACAGAATCTCTGGTAGAGCTGAGTGTTTGGGTTGCTAAGAAAATAGCCATTGAGGACCTTCATCTCTAAAGCCAGGATCAGACATGACCTGGGTCACTTGAGAAGATGGAAAAACAATTTGTAATTTACATAAATGTCTTACACCAACACTAATTTTACAGATTTTTTTTTCTTTTTGGTTTTTCGAGACAGGGTTTTTCTGTAGCTTTGGATCTTGTGGAACTCCCTCTGTAAACCAGGCTGACCTCGAACTCACAGAGATCTGCCTGCCTCTGTCTCCCAAGTGCTGGGATTAAAAGCATGTGCCACTACCACCCGGCAGTTTTACAGGTATTAATAACTACATTTTCTTGATAACATCCTTAGGATGATTGGTCCTGGTAAATAAGAAAAAAATACCTGGCCCCAGAAGTTAGATACACTTTAGAGTGTAGTTCTTTGAAGGAAGAAGAAAAAGGAGAGAAAAGCAAAGGCATGTCTAATAAGGAAACAGAAGCTGTTCTGAGCTGACAGGGGATGTGCAGAGATTGAGGAGACTGCCTACTCCTACATACTCCAGAAAGAAACGTAGATGCCAAAGAGTTCATGTCAGCGAAGGTGGAAGCCACAGGTTGTGTGCACCTTCTTTACCTGTCACATCTCTCTGGGTGTTTGAGCTATGTGAGGGTAAGTCTGTCCCTGTCAGCTATGTCACGTGAGGTGTTAGTGTACTTGCTCTGCATCCTTCTGAAGGAAGCTTTCAGTGTAGCACTCTGATGTATGAGAAGATGCTGAAGAATAAGGTGTCCTCATTCTTAACTTTCTCCCTGTTTCTCCCTCAGTGCTTCGTCCTCACTTGTCATTGATTTCTCTCTATTTGCTTCTCTCCTAACAACCTAATCCGAAGTGTGTGTGTGTGTGTGTGTGTGTGTGTGTGTGTGATAGAGTGTTGGAGAGAGGTCGCTTGTTGGTTCCCAGCCGCCCAGCTAGCTTAGACCCAAAATAATCACACAGAAACTGTATTAATTAAATCACTGCTTGGTCCATTAGCTCTAGCTAATTATTGGCTAACTCTTATATTAATTTAACCCATTTCTGTTCATCTGTGGCTTACCAGGTAAAGTTTCCAGCATCTGTCCCCAGTGGCTCCATGGCTTCTCTCTGACTCCACCCTTCTTTCTCCCAGCATTCAGCCTAGCTTTCCCTACCTACCTAAGTTCTGCCTTGTTATAGATCCAAAGCGGTTTTTTAATTCATTAATGGTAATCACAGCACACAGAGGGGTCTCCCACATCAGTGGAGCAACTGACACCCCAAGTCTGATTCTCATGTTTTCCTCTTTCTCACCTCAGGGATCCCTAAGAAATGTTCATGTAGCTAGCATGAAAGACCCAAGAAAACAGCATTATTTTAAGGCTGAGCCCATGGGCTTAGAAAATCAGACCCTCAGAGAGGTCTGCTGGGCTCTGTCCACAAAGAAAAGACAGTTTTTCTGAGAGGTTGTGTGGCTGTAACTACACAGCCACCAGCTGTGGCCTCTCTCCTATGACATGTCCATCATCACCCCAGCCTCCATCACCGGCAGATCGGCTTCCCATGCCCCCTCTCCTGTTTATCTAACAATTCAATTTGTTTCAGATTTACATTTGGTAAGATCCTGCAATCATAATTAGTATTGGCTCTGTGTTGACAAGCTTTAACAATCTTCTGCCTTTTTTGTATACTTTTCTCTCTGAACTGATGTCAGAATGTGAGGGCATAACTACCTAGTGACCTGAGCTTAGTTATCTTCTGATGGCCTGCTTAGGAGAAACAGCCTCACATGGAGAGTATGTATGGACTCTCTTAGGAAGGCCTTTCTGTGGTCCTCAGGAGGCCAGTAGCAGAGATATGCACAGCCCAGCACCAACGACCTGGCTCCTAACCCATCTCGACATCAGCTGGCCACACTCACTCTCTCAGTGGATTGGCCAGATGCCACATGAAAGGAGCCCCACACTGTAACTTACAAAGGGGACCTGGAAAGAAACCTCAGAAGAGCCCAGCTGGAAGGCTGACGCCCAGATGGTTTCGCTCATGTTGGCTCTTGCAGCCAGACTTTGACGTTGGCATCAGTGCCTCAAACCTCCCCGGGTGTCATCACTGACTCACTGCCTCTGCTGGATACCTAGCAACTCTGACAATGCCCAGCATGCGTCCAGGTCAGGAGCTGCACTTGTCTTTGCTGCACTTGCTGCACTTATCAGTGGCAAATGAAATAGATGCAGCTCCAGTGTCCTGAAATTATGCCCCGTGCAAGAAGAAGCATCCAGTGTCATCACATTGGTGTGGTTCGTACAGCCTCTGAGGAAGTGTTCAGGGCACCGTGGCCTCCAGGGGATGAGACAGCACAAGCTGAGACCTGAAGGTTGGAAGTCCTAGTTACTAATGGGACGCAGGGTTAACTAAGGGGGAGGAGAATGCTAGATACAGAGGAAAGACTGCCTCACGTACACTCTTGGCAGGCACGGCATCCCAGAACACTGCCTTGTTCCCAAGAAGGCCAAGAGGGCACTGTGTCTGGGCATCGTAGGTGACTGTCAGTCCGGGAGAGACTGCATCTCCATCACTTTAGCAACCCCTGTTCATGGCTGTGGTGGACCCCTTCGTACGGGTTCTTAGATAAGAAGCTCTGCTCTTTGCAATCTTTCCATTAGACTCCCTGTCTAGTAAAATGTCTTGCTTTTTAAAGTCACCTAAAAGGACTCGACGGTTGCAAAAGTGGCCTTCCCTGATAATAGACTAGTGGCTGTCTGAAGAGGGTCACTGTGTTCCCTGCCCTCTCCTTCATAAGTCTGTTTACAGCCAGAGAAGCTGTGTGGTAGAACTGAGAAGTTAGGTACTGGAAGAATTCCGCTTGGGCTTCAACAAAGAGGAAAGGTCTCACAGCAGTGTGCGCATTCCAAGCAGCCAAAACTCCCTAGAGTCCCTCATTCGCTCTGTGCATAGGAGAGGTTTCTGGGCCCCACTGATCCACCCTTTCCAAACACAAACCAATTTAAGTCATTCACGGTCTGACCATTTCAAGTCTCTTCGCCCTTCCCCGGTGTCTTCAAAGAAGATTCTTTCCCCCTGTTGTAACAAAGGAGCATGTTATTTAAAGGCCGTGACACTGTTAAGGCTTCCCAGAGGTGCGTAAGACTCCCATCTGTATCCCGTGTCTCCAGGCACCTGAAGACACACCATATAAATTTTACAGCCTTCCTGCTGGCTGCATTGTAATTAAGGTATTGGTTGGAACCTGCAGCTGCTGTTACAAGCCTGCTTTTATAATCCTTTTCCTCTGTCGGAAAAACTGGGAACTGAAGTTGGAAACCACATAGCCAAGTTTTAATTGCCTCTTTATCTATTTATCTAAAGTGGTTCCTTTACCAAACATATTTAGCCTAACATTTTACAAGGCACTGGGGTTGCTGACATGACGAAGACTGCTCCTTGCCCTCTAAGAACCTTCTAGAAGGGGAGAGGATGAGAGATTGTGGTGGAAATTTTAATTGGGCAGAGGGAACCCACGGGAGATACTTGCAGACAGGAAAACCAGAACTCTTGCCTGTCTGGGACTGTGTTCAAAACAAAGGGGTGGGCCCCAGGAGTGGCTCAGCTCTTACTCAGAGGCACATAAACTCTCTCTACATACCTAGTTGCTTCTGTTTTGGCTCCAGAAACCATCCCTGTGGTGTCTGTGTTGTGTTCTGGACAGTAAGTCCACTGTGGGTTGAGTGACAAGCGGGTGACCTCTCACCTGAAATAACTGTGTCGTGATCAGGAACTCGCTAACCCTGTGGCTATGATGCTGACCCCAGAACTCCCCCTGTGAAGGTTTCTCCCCTTCCATGTCACATCTCCCATCAAATGCCTCTGCATCCATTAAGGAGCAGCTTGGGGGGTTACTCTTTATTAGGGGTACTATAGATCTGTGTTTCTTCTAGTGTTTCCTCGGCATTCCCTGGTGCTCAGTCTGTACACCCTTTACACCCCTCTCGTCCTTCCCCTCGTGGACTTCGTGTCCCCAAGGCATTTCATAAGATACAGCCATCGTTCCTTGTGCTAAGCAGACTGCCCCCTCCAAGCTGGTCCTCGTGCCCCTTGCCTTGAGTGTGTCTTTGCTTCTTGCCACAAACTGTCCTGAGCTTACCTCTCCAGTTCTGCACCATCCCTGGCACCAGCAGTTTCTCGAGAAGCCCTTTTGTTGAAGAGTGACATTTAGAAACCGAGATTGGGCATCAGGGTACTCGTTGTCACGGAAATGTCCTTGCTCCTCCTCTGTCGCTGGAGCTACAGGGTGTACTAAAAGGAAGCACACACCTTGAGCCAGTGTTTCTTCTACAGTTTGAACCTGTCATGGGGCCTTTGCTCTTAAAAACACACGTACAGTGATGATGTGTGATGATTGAAGAACATTTCCTATCATTCATGTGTATGTGATATGTGAGCACATGTTTGTGTGCGAGGGGGGTACATGCATGCATGTGGTGGAGGACAGAGTACAACTTGGTCTTGGTTCGCTCACTCTCGATGTTTGTCCCTGAGTGAGCCTCTAGGAAGTCTCCTGCCTCCACCCCTCATCTCCCAGGAGGAGCCGTGGGCTAGCATATCTGGCTTCACAGGGGTTCTGAGGATCTCAGCTCCTCAGACTTGTCCAGTGAGCACTGACTCACTGAGCTGGCTCCCCAGCCCCCAGGGCTTTTCCTCTTAGGTTCGCTGGAGCTGTGGTTTTAGGCCCGGAGGGAAGGGGTTAACCTCCTCTTGAGGAGCGGCTGTTCTTCTGAGGTTCATGGTTGTCACAGGACATGGGCTTGGTGGTGTACCTCACTTCTGACTGTACCAACGGGGGATTGGCACATTGCCTGTAGCATGTAGGAAGCTCATTTTATATCCTGCATTTGCATTCTACCAGAAAGTCTTTTTTAATGCCGGCTCTACTCATAGTATACTCTGCTTGCTTCTAGGTGCGGCAAAATCAAGCCCAGCAGCTAAGCCGGGATCCACACCTTCTCGCCCCTCATCTGCCAAAAGGGCTTCATCCAGTGGCTCCGCATCCAGATCTGACAAAGATTTAGAAACGCAGGTCATACAGCTCAACGAGCAGGTAACACATGGTCTCCACCCAAGTCCTTGGGAACAGCGCTGTGTGTGAGGGGTGAGGAGGTCACGCCCACAGGCCTGGGGGAAGGGAGAAAAGGTGAGACCAGGAGGACCTGCTCAAGAAGGGAGACTCAGCAGCTGATGAGGAGCACTGTGAGGTACAGAGCTTGACACCACGTGTGAGGATGTGGAAGATGATGCGTGTTGCAGGCTCCCCTTCCATCCCGAACCCCAGGCCTGCTCTGCCCGCTCCTGGCCAGTCTGAGAAGTGTTATGGCGGTATTAGAGTCCAGCTGGCTCCCTCTCCGTCCCTTCTTTCTCAGCAGCTAACGGTTGAGCCTCTTTTATGTGGTGGACACTGTGCTTGTTCTGGGGGCATAATGATAGCAAGATGGATGATACTGTCCCCTCACTCAGAGCCTACTAACATCAGAACTTAGTACTAAAATTAAACAAGTGAATAAACAGACAAAAAAAAAAAAGCCCTCTCTACAATATCAGAACTGCGGTGCCTGGGAGCCCTGAAAGGCAACATCTGTGTTTTAAATAGAAATTTTCCCAACTTACTAGCCCTCTGACAATTATGGTAAACCTCGCTACATCAGCTGACATTTCCAAGGTGAAACCCTAAGTAAGGGGTTGGGGTGTGACTTTGTGGGAGAGCACCAGTCTAGCCTGCAGGAGGCTCTGGGTTTGATCCAAAATGTCTTCTAACTCATAATACCTCATTTTGCCTAGACTAATACAGCTTAAGATTATTAAACCACTGGGCAGTGTGGTGCCCATTGTAAAGCTACCTGCTTCCTGCCCCAAGTCAACCCCCTTTGGGAAAGAACCTTTCACTGCAAATCCTTGGGCTGTGCCCAGCTACGTGCTGAGCCTGGCCTAGCCCCTAATCTTCTGCTTGTTAAGGCAAGAGTCTGAGAACAGTTGTTTTGTTTTGTTTTGTTTTGTTTTGTTTTGTTTTGTTTCTAAATAATTGTGTACTCTCAGTCAGGATTCCAGTGCAGAGTCCCACAGGCTTTGAGTTGATCACATTAGCACTTCAGGTAAAATCTTAAGTCCCCTTAGGACTCTGATTGGATAACCAGGGCATGTTCTAGTTACCTGCTGATCGTCTATTGGAGGCCAGGCGGGTTTTAGGTTGGGGGGACAGGTATTGATGAGTTCATTCTCCTTTGCTAACGTATCAGGAATGGCAGCCTGAGCCAGCTCACGTTGAGTGTTTCCACAACACTCATAGTTAAAGAAAGGAGGGAAACGGCAGTTAATGAGCCTCGGGCCGTAAGCTTAAGACTTCTTGAAAGCCCGAATGGACGGTGAAAGTCAGGCCTGGGTACATCATACTCTAGAGCCCTAGATTTATGCCTGTGCCCACAAAGCAGCTCAAGTTTTTCTTTGTCATTAGCAGCTTGCACTCGGGTCTCCTGACCAACACTCCCCCCACACACACACACACCCTCTCCTTCCGCCTCAGCATAGTTCCAACCCAGTGACCCAATTCTGACCACATGGAAAACTCCAGTTCCCTAGATATCTCCAGTCCTTCGTGGCCTTCGCTAGTCAGCTGCCTACTCTCCATGTGGCTGCTCCGAGGTTTCCTTCAGCTCTCAAATCACATACAGGGGGTCTAGTTCCAAAATGCCTTGCCAGTCCTTAATGCCAATCAAGAGAGGACAGAAGGGGCAGGAGCGGGGAATGGTCTACCTGCTGACCTTCCAGGAGTACTTCTAACAGAGGCCTTACTCCCCTTCTTGTCCCCAACACCTTCACACCTATGTCCACTCTGTCCTTGCGAGGGCAGGTGAAGCACAACCTAAACTGGACAGATATTTACCAAGTCCTCATCCTGGTTCGTTTCCCTGGTGACCTGAGTCCGGCTGCAGACTCTTGAAGCCTCCAGGAGGAAGACCCTGAGGGTCATGGGTGGCAGCAACACAAGGCTCCCAGTGTTGGAGTGGAGAACACAGGGACCAGGAGACGCCTAGTGGAAATGCAGAAGCATGAATTATGGTGGTAATAGAGAAAGTGACAATGGCCATAAACTTAAAGAATTTTCATTTACTTGGCCCCGTTCCATTATTCAGGCAGTCTCCCATGATATACGGCAAGAGCACACTGTGCTCCACAGTCGCGGTGATAGCAGTGAAGCAGAAGAGACGGGGGGAAGAGGCATAAATGAGACTTTCTGAACAGAGGGTTAGCCAGCAGGAAAGGATTGGAGCCACTCTGTCACGGGGCCTCTGGGGCCCCAAGACCGTGGACACTGCTGGGAAGTTAGGAAAGCAACTTCCCCCTTTGGACATGACTTCCTCAGCCTCTGTCACTTAGGCATCTGTAACCTGTGAGGAATGAGGCTGGCCATTTGTCCCTTAGTGGCATCCGAATGAAATTGTGTTTGCTAGCTGATCTGTGATTGTTTAAAGTAGCTACTGCCCGAATTTTAGGTTTTTGGTGTTTTTTTTTTTTTTTGACTTTGTAGACCAATCTGGATCTGAGCTCACGGCGATTCACCTGCCTCAGTCTCTTGAATATCAGAATTACAGGTTTTAGGTTGGGGGGAGACAGGTATGGACGGGTTCATTCTTTGCTAACATATCAGGAATGCCAGCCTGAGCCAGCTCACGCTGAGTGTATCCACGGAAGCCTCAGTGTGCTGTGCAGACCACTGTCCACAGGCACAGCCTGGATTTTGTAGGCTGGCTGTGCCTGCTGTGAATTGGATGTGAAGAGCACCCCATCCTCCACTGTGTGCTTTAACACTTGGTTCCCAGCCGGCTGTGCTGTCAGGGGAGGTTGTGGAAACCGGAAGTTGAGGCCTCGCTGGAATGTGGTAGGCCTCGAAGGATGTAGCTCAGTCCCGCGTCTCTTCTGGGTTGCTACTTCCTGGCCAGCACCATGTAACACAGGCAGCTGCAGCTGGCTCCTGGCGCCACAGACCATGCCCTCTGACCCCCCGATCTGTGGGTCACAATAAACCCTCCCCTGCGCTGCATCTGTGGAAAGGAGCTAAAGCAATACCTCTGCTTGGTTTGGCGGAGCCGAAGGTATGATCCTTCCTTCTGCTGCAGCGCAGGGGCCGGGAGGGAGTCTATGGCCGCGGTCAGAGATGGGATCAGAACCAGGGAGGTTTTCCTGTTTCTGAAGTGCAGGCTTCACCGTGTGTGTTTGCAGGTATGCAGTCTCAACAGGAATAAAAAGTCAGGCCTAACTAACTGAACCCACACTTCTTTGGAAGTGCTGGTGTGAGGACATCCATGAGACCAGCACTAAGGGCCCCTCCCAGCATAGATCTGTTTGTCAGATATGGGGTAAAGGAATGGCTGCGTGTACCAGTATGTGTTTGAATGTCAGTAGTTTCAGAGATCTTGTACCAAAAGTCCAACTTATTTTTTAATAAAAAAATAAACAAAAAGGAGATTTTTTTTTTGCATCTCAAAAGTAATTACTAAAAATAATGTGCAGGGTTGGTTTTTTTTGTTTTTGTTGTTGTTGTTGTTGTTTTGTGTGTGAAGCAAACTTCACCCAAAAGAAACCCTGAGATTTTGTTTATTCCCTAATGTTTGCTATGTCAAGGTTTCTTCAGCTGTCTGCACCCACAACCTCTTTTCCCTCCAGAAATTTCAAGCAACCTCAGGTTCATAGGACTATAAAAGGGGAAAACAAAACAAACGACCTGGTCATAAATCATAAGAAATTTTATCTTAAAATAGTTCTTTGGAGCCAGCATGGTAGCACACACCTTTAATCCGGACTCAGAAGGCAGAGGCACGTAGGTGGATCTCAGTGGGTTCTAGGCCAGACAGGACTGTCTCAAAAAAAAAAAAAAAAAAGGCAAATTTGCACACTAATGACGTGGTGTTTCTTTGCCTGACAGTACCAGACAAGCCAACTAATTTGCTGCTTGCTTGTTAGGGAGTGACAGCGGGCCAGCTAGTGTTTTCTGCCATTATACCATCGCGTCTCTGTAAGAACAGTGTGTGCAGTGAGAGCCTTGGAAAGCTCCCCTCTGAGGTGAGGCACCTCAGGCAGCATGTGGTGGCCATGTGTGGCCTGACAGGATGCATGGTGCAACGTGGCAGGTGCTCCCAATCACGGCTGCAGTGACGTTACACAGTACCGCACAAGAAAGCTGTGCCAGAAACACCTCGAGTCCATTGTACATTCGATTTCTAATCCGTCTTTAACTGATGAACAGCACAAGCTTCTGCTGTTGCCAGATAGTTTTTGTAATCCCCCTCCCGTTCAGTCATACACCCCAGGGCAGTGTCACGACCCCACATTTAGAATCTTTGCTCTACATAACCATAAATGAATAAAGTAATACAAAATAGAAGGTACTGCAGGAACAGGGAATAGTTTGGACCTGTGTGTGGCTATTATACGTGTCAGAGAGTTGCATCCTAAGATCTGAAAGTCGGCAGGCCTCTTCGGTACAACATCTCCCCCCCCCCGCGCCCCCCGCCGGCCAGGTTGTGGTCCTGCCTTGGCTGCTGGCTCTAGCCCATGGCTCGCACTGACCCAGAAGTTTGCAACTTCACAGCACTCGAAGGTCCCTAAGCCCACCTCTAGGGCATGGGGGAACTGTGAGCCTTGTTTGTCTGCAGCCTCCACCACCCTGCCCTTCCAGGGATACACACAAAGCCAGAACTGGACAAATGGAGGTGGATTGACCCAGCCAGCCTTCCACTCCTACCCCATGTTCTGCGTGCACCAGGATCTGCCCTCCCACAGGACATCATTTGTCTGCTCTGACTCACATCTAAGGAGTGGCTCTTAGTACCAGAGATCTGAAGGAAGGGTTAGTTCAAAAACACAACTCTCAGTCGGGCGGTGGTAATCCACACCTTTAATCCCAGTTCTCGGGAGGCAGGCAGATCTCTGTGAGTTTGAGGCCACCCTGCTCTACAGAGTGAGTTCCAGGACAGCCAAGGCTACACAGAGAAACCCTGTCTCGAAAAACAAAACAGAAATAAACAAACAAAATACAACTCTCTTATCTCCCTCCCCAGTAGGTTACAAAAGGAGTGTTTTGAGTCTGTTTGGGACGTTCTAACAAAACACCTTAGGCTAGGTGGCTTGTGAACCACAGAATTTTATTTCTTACCATCCTGGAGCCTGTGAAGTCCAATATCAAAGTGTCAGCAGATCGGTTGTTTAGCCAAGACCCAGTCCTCTTGGTCTTCTCATGTTAAGAAGGTGGACGGATCCCGTAGGCTTCTTGCATAAACAAATCTCGTTCAACCTCCTAAAGGCCCTGCTTCCTGAGGCCATCACATTGTAGGATTCCAGCATAAGAACTGGGGGAGGTGCTGACATCCTGGATCATAGCAACAAGACGTGGTCCAGCCCATGTTACCGAGAAAAGAAAGGTTGTGTAAGCTCAGATACAGCTATGCAGGTGCGCAGTCCACCCTGACTGACTAACGGACACTCGACAGCAGCAGAAGTGGCCAGCATGCTCGTGACTAGACGCCGGACCTGTTGGCTCTCCCTTACACTTCCGTCTCCACTCATTTCTGTGTCCGGCTCCATGTAGCATCGTGGTGCGTAGACCTAGCGGGTCACACTTCTTATCCTGTTTCGGGGTTTTCTTCCCCACCCCACTCTCCTGCAGGTACATTCGTTGAAACTTGCCCTAGAAGGTGTGGAGAAGGAGAGGGACTTCTACTTTGGGAAGCTGCGAGAGATCGAGGTGCTGTGCCAGGAACATGGGCAGGAGAACGATGACCTCGTACAGCGACTAATGGAAGTACTCTACGCTTCAGATGAGCAGGTGCGTGCGCGAAGCCACAGCAAGTCCCATCTTTTTTTTTTTTAAGTTATTTATATTACATCCCAAAGCTCCTGAGTTCTGGAACTCTTCTTGTTCAAAGTGCAACATATCCTGCATCGTAAGTGCTTCCCTGGGATCTTGACGAGGCTACAACTTAGCTGGCAGCCTTGATGGTCCCAGAGAAACGAGTCTGTTTGTCATCAAGATCTCTGTTCTTTCTCCCATGCCTGTGGGATGAGCATCCTCAAGTTAGCCTGGGAGGCGTCTGGCAGAGGTGGGGCTGTGAAACACGCGGCCAGACCCCAGGCGCTTTTCAGCTTTGAGCAAACGAACAGGAAGGGGTTGTACGAAGGTCTGCTTTCTGAGAATTGCTGAGTGAGAAGAAAACTTTCCCCATCCCTTTGAGCCCCACTTCTGTCTGTTTTACTCACATAGCTGGCTGCTTTGTTACTCATTGCCAGGACAGACCAGACCGTGGGACAGGCCTTATTGAAAATACTTCTTTGTAGGGAGGGCCTGCCACTGAGCAAGGGTGCAGGAGGAGACCCGGGATGTGGCTTCGTGAAGGCAATGAAGAGGTGTGCTGGGCATGGTGGGGCGCAGCTGTCATCAGAGCGTTTGGCAGGCAGAGGCAGGAGTGTCAGGAATACATAGTGAATCCAGGGCTATCCTGGGCTACGTGAGACCCTGTTTTTAATAAAACAAAATGGAAACAAGGCATTGTGGCACATGCCTTTAATTTCAGCACTCAGGAGGCTGAGGCCAGTTGGATCTCTGTGAGTCTGAGGCCAGCCTGTCTACACAGCAAGTTCCAGCCAGCCAGGGCTACATAGTGAGACATTGGAGAGAGAGGGAGAGAGAGAGAGAGAGAGAGAGAGAGAGAGAGAGAGAGAGAGAGAGAGAGAAGAGAAGAGAAGAGAAGAGAAGAGAAGAGAAGAGAAGAGAAGAGGAAATGGAAAAGAAGAGGAAAAGGGGAAGGAGAAAGGAATTGAGGCAAGGGAAGAATAGACACGGGTAGGAAGGATGCTGCAGACCAAACAGTTGACAGGCAGGATAAACGACAGAGACCTCGGTGAGTCAGTGCAGTCTGTGTCTGCCAAGAGGTGAAGCCTGGCCCCGAGGCAGAAGTCAGATACCAGTTGGAGCTTCCCCTTTCTACAGAGCTGAGCAGTGGGAGGCAAGATGCCAAGGCTGGGCTTGAGGGTCTCCTTACCCCAGGCCAAAGCTGCTCAAGTGTTTGGCTCTCTGACCTGGAGGCCTGTGGACTGCAGAGGGAACTGAGGGAGTCACATGTATTACTGTTTCCACAGACCACAGCAAGCCACCGAAAGTTTATTTAGTCTTATTCCAGCCAAAGGCAGATGTTTTCTCCACATCTGGCTTAAAATCCTAGCATTGGAACCTCCACCAGCTACAGTTTGGGAACTCCCCACCATAACTTCTCTCTCTCTCTCTCTCTCTCTCTCTCTCTCTCTCTCTCTCTCTCTCTTAACTTCTTTCTCAGTGACTAGTAGCTCGATGTGTGGATTTTGAAGCCTTGGGACTCCGCCTAGTTAAGTCCCTGAGACCATGATGATGTCACAGAATGTGACTCTCAGCATGGAGGCTGGTTTGTAGCGTGCCTGTGGCCATTGAGAATGTAATGTGTTCTGGCAGGCACACATCGGTTACAGGGGCTGCCTCTGAAGCTTTACTAGAGATGACATCAGATGAGCCCTTCAGATCCTGGGAGGCCAAGTGCGTGGGGTTGCCATCTGTGGCCGTGGGTGCTGGCGGGAGGGAGCAAGGCCAGCAGGCTTGCTTGGATCTTCCCATCTGTGCCCTCGTAGCAGGAAGGAAACCCTTATTCAAAGCCAGAACTGGTCCCAAGAGGGAGGCCTATGCTGGGATATGGCCTGGGGCATTGTATGAATTCCTGGCTGAGGACCATCAGGTGAGCCCAAGGCGAGAACTCTGGAGTGTGATTGGAGCAGGTCCTGCCTGGATGTCCACACTCAAGTTTCGCTCTGCTGTTCCAGTCCCCCCACACCCTGGCACACCTTGCCACCCACTCGAACCACAGAACAGTTCTTGTACTGTGGACACGGTCACAGAGGTTAAAGCTCCTTCACTGAGTCAGGCTGAATGGGTTCACTGGTGCCTCCCTCAGACACCTGAAGTGAGGCCTTTGTGCTATGTATAATACTTTATCAGATCCTTCAGCTCCCTTCAGTAGAGAAACTGAGGCAGTAAAATGCCTCAGCACTTTGTAAGCAACTAGAATCTGAATCCTGAGCCCATGCTCTCCCATCTCTGTTTGAGGAATGTGTGGGTGGGGTTTGCTTTCTCGTAGGGTGTTTGGAGGAAGCAGATGTTATCCCGAAGGGAACTAGGCTTCATCCCCTTGTGCTGCTGTCTCCTCCTGCAGCCCCTGGCTTAGTGTTTCGAGTTCAGGATACATTACATTTGCAGTTCTGTGTCTGGAAAATTCCCAAGAGGCATCAGGCTGCAGTGAGATTCCCATGGAGAATAAGGCATTTGATCCACTTTATACCAGAATCCTTGCTTAGTGCAGGACAAGACCTGAGACCTGGGTTTCTAGACTTTGTTTCTACAGCAAGAAGAGGAAAGATTATGTACACACACCATGCTGGGCTGGTATATACTTGTCATGCGTGCATGCATGCGCACGCACGCACACACACACACACACACACACACATGCACACAATACATGCTCTGTGAAAAGGCTCTGGCACAGCTGGCCCAGTCTGTTCTGCTTCCTTTTTGGAGGCTCAAGGAGTCACCTAAGAAATCTCAGAGACTTCAAACATCCACCCCCTTCTCTGAGGAGCATAGCTGCCTCCCTGAAGGACAGACAGCCCTAGAGAAGACTAGGTCTAAGACAGGGCTGCTTACCCTTGAAGGGCGGGACTTTGAAAATGCATGCTCAGTGGTCTCTGTGTCATGGCACGGTACCACCCACACCCCCCGATCTTCCGTTAGTCCCACCGTGCTTGCCCTGATACTGTGGGCCGTCTGTGTTCCTGTGTGAGCCTGATGTGTCTGGGATGCAGGAAGACACATCTGTATTTT